CTAGAGAACAGCGATAGTAAATCAGAACCACTTGCAGAAATGAGTGGTAATGATTGGTGGGGGAAATTCCTCATCAGACACTGAAAACGATTCTGCGACTGAGCTCAGCGATGTGCCAACATGGCGCTCTATTTCACATTTCAGTGTTTTTGGTTTGATGACATTATTGAATTACATTTATTATTATATTATTATTTTTTATGATGATTTATTATATTATAATTTATGATTTCGTGTTTCACATTTTATCATCCCCGGGATGTTTACTAGACTCTTGTTCGGACAGATTTCAGTGAGTTATTCCTAAGAATTACAGGCCTACAATAAAAAAAATATTTCCATGCAAAAAAATGTACCGCTTTGAGCACAGAAATACTGACATAATCAGACCGCTAGGGAGGTTAAAAAACATCTGTTTAGCTGCGTTTGCATGCCACGTTTATGAGCGTTTGCGTTTAGAAGCGTTTTCTAATGATAACCTCAGGAGACCTTCCAAAATGCCCAGAATGCACTGAAAAACAGTAGAAAAATAACTATTTCTGACATTTTGAGAAAAGCAGAGAGAGCAGTATTTGTTGAGATTAGCTGTTTTTTTTGTGGTGTTTGGATGTTCCGGCTCATTTCTGTGCAGAAATTATTGCAGCAGCGTCTAACATATTTGCTTTCATGCGAAACCTCAAAGTATGGTGTACCAAGTCCATTTTTGCGTACCGGGAAAACGATTTGCATACATTTTTTCATGATCAAAAAAGGCTCTGGACAGCATCTGGAAATGGAACAGTTAAAAAAAAAAATTCCAACCGCAAACGCTTTTAAACGCGGTTAGCCGCGTTTACAAGCATTTTGGCGTTTGAAACACTGATCAAATCTACTCCTGAACGCAAGTTTAGTGCGTTAAAAAAAAAACGACTGTAAACTCTACTGCCTGTAAATGACGATGTGTACACAGACACATAGGAAAACATTAGGGAGGGTTCAGGGGCTGCTGAAAAAAATGCAGAAAAGCTCCTAAACGTCAGTTTATCAGCTGCAGTGTACATGGAGCCTTATAGTAAAGGCGCTTTTTTTTTTTTTCTTATAATTCACTTTAGCTGGGCTATTTATTTATTTTTTTACCCAGAGTTCTGCTTTCACAAAAAGTATGTCAGTTGTTATTACAGAAGGTCACATTTTTTCTTACAAGCAATGGGGACAGATTTAGTAATAAAATAAAAACAAAATACTTTTGCGCTGCCCCAATATTAGGATAATAAATATTAATTTTGAGCTGCTGCTAACACCTCAATGTGTTCCCACATCCCTAAATAAAGTGAAGAGTAACAGTGCTGGGCTTCTAGGAATAAATACAAATCGTGCCAAACAAACAATGATACATCGTCATCCAATCAACACCGAAGCAGGGGCGGGCTGACCATTCGAGCACTCGGGCACTGCCCGAGGGCCCGGGGTCAGTAGGGGGCCCCATGAAATGCCCCTGGTACCTTTTTTTTTTTTTTTAGGGTTTTTTGAGTGTGGGCAAGGACACAGGGGCCCCATGATCCCCTATTGCCCGGGGGCCCAATGAGTTGTCAGTCCGCCCCTGCACCGAAGTGTCTTAACTACGAACAATCTTAAAATCTTATGTAAATGGCGAACTTTCATTCAACAATAAATCCCCATGGACAACCCCCAGCCCATCAAACCTTCATATCCTGCAAGGGACAAATCAAGAATATAAATGTGTCTCAGTAAACATCCACCAGAGTGTCTAACCCTTCGGTATTAAATCGTAATGGATAATAATATAAACTTCAATAGTATAACTCAATGATCACTATAAAAAAAGCAAAGTTCATATACACAACCTCCAGCCCTTCAAACCCCATAAAGTGCCAAACAATACTGCTTAGAAAACAACATATGCACTGCAGTATGAATAATAAAAATGTGATAATGATCAAATCCATAAATATCATGATATAAAATTGACAAAAGTAAACACCCCACTGAGGTATCCACCTTCCCCATGCAAAAACAAAAAATATACAGTCATTGAGGTTAAAAGTGGAGCGCAGGGCCCAACAGTAAAAAGGGTTTTTACTTGTTGAAACTACTTTCACAATACCATTTCAATACCGGGCAATTTTCCCCCTTCCTGCCCAGGACATTTTTCAGGTTTCAGCGCTCTCACACTTTGAATGACAATTGCGCAGTCATACAACATTGTACCCAAACTAAAATTTTATCATTTTCTTCACACAACTAGAGCTTTCTTTTGGTGGTATTTAATCACCGCTGGGGTTTTTATTTTTTGCTAAATTAACAAAAAAAGACCAAAAATTTTGAAAAAACGTTTTTTCTTTGTTTGTTATAAAAGTTTACAAATAAATAATTGTTCTTCATAAATTTAGGCCGAGATGTATTCTGCTACATGTCTTTGGTGAAAATAACCCAAATTAGGATGTAATTATTTAGTTTGTAGGAAAGTTATAGAGTTCACAAACTATGGGTATAGATCTGAATATTGATCAATCCTGAAGTACTGACAGCCAATCTAATTTCTTGAGGTCCAAGAATGTCAGAACAGTACAGAACAGTACAGATATCCCCCAAATGTCAGGACAGTACAGATATCCCCCCCAAATCCCCCAAATGTCAGAACAGTACAGATATCCCCCAAATGTCAGAACAGTCCCCCAAATGTCAGAACAGTACAGATATCCCCCTAATGTCAGAACAGTACAGATATCCCCCAAATGTCAGGACAGTACAGATATCCCCCAAATGTCAGAACAGTACAGATATCCCCCCAAATGTCAGAACAGTACAGATATCCCCCCAAATGTCAGAACAGTACAGATATCCCCCCAAATGTCAGAACAGTACAGATATCCCCCAAATGTCAGAACAGTACAGATATCCCCCTAATGTCAGAACAGTACAGATATCCCCTAATGTCAGGACAGTACAGATATCCCCTAATTTACCCCTTTTTGCAGAGTAGACAGTCCGACGTATTTCATAAGAGGAATGGCACGTTTTTTTAAGTTGTATTTTTTTTTTTTTGTCATTTTTCGGAAAATTAAAAAATGAAAAAAATTATTTATTTATTTTTTTTACATACTGTCACCAGTGCAGTACAGCGTCATCATATAACTGGCATGCCGGTGATCAGGGACACTGACTGGTGACAGTATGAAAAAAAAAATATATATATATATATATTTTTTTTTTTATTATTTTTAATTTTTTATTACATTTTTTTAAATTTTTTTTAAAGATTTTTTTTCATATTTTACTATGACCAAAGTAGTACAATGTTACCATAGTAACATTGTATTACTTTGGGGAAGTGATCAGTATTTTTTTTTTTTTTTTTTACACAATTTGAAATGAAATCGATTCATTCAGGTTTTTGTGCTTAGCTGTGATTTAGCCACAGTTAATCACATGACATGTGCATGTGACCTACTGTGACCATTCACAGCTAGGCACTAGTATACAATGGATGGCATGAATGAAGCCATCCATTGTATACAACTGTCATGTGACCTGCTGTGATTGGTCACAGCAGGTCACATGGTACCGGCAACGGGGGCCGGTACTCAGATCGCATGTGTGGGAGCATGCCAAATGGCGTGCACCCGGAAAGGTGAAGCATTTTTGCCGCCGCCAAACGGCTATAGGCCGGGCAGCTAACGGTTAAAGTGTTAGTTGGAATTGGGCTTTAAAGTGGTTGTAAATCTCTGTAATGAAAAATCCTTCTGTAGTGTGTACTATAAAAGCGCCTAGTGTGATTTCTGTCTGTGTTCCCTCTATCTGCATGAGTCACTTGTGGCAGGTTACGCCAACACCACAGAATCCAAAAGAATGGCCACGCTGCCCCTGCCAGCACACAGCAGGTGATTGACAGCCTCAGATGTGCATGTTTCCCTGTGAGACTGTGTAGAGGGGGCGTATCCATTCCCTTAGCTCAGATCTCAGATTACACTTTGCTCCCTGTTCTGTGCTGTGCAGTTTGTGACATCAGATCCCCCCCTGCCTTATGGAGCTATGGAATGCTGTCTAAAATGTGTGCTTTAGGAGGCTGTGGAGGAGAGAAGGCTACAGATAACCATGTACAACTTACGTAGAAGTATCTGTTTCATCTCTGTATCACCTGAGGCCAGTCAGTTCACTGGGTATACAGGTAAAACTCAAAAAATTAGAATTGTTGGTTATGTGTTAGAGAAGACACTGGTAGCTTGTGATGAGGCAGAATTCCGTTTTACTTGTGTGGCTTAAGTTACAAACATACAGAGCACATTTCTGCAGACAGTGATAGCAGACATCTTGCTTTAAGAGAGAGAGAGGAGAGAGAGAGAACCAACAAGTTTTACACATACGCACAACTGGTAACCTTAGTGTACAGTGCCATCTACTGGTCAAGTGATATTAACACACAATACTATATAGTACATGCTGTTGTATCTCCAACAAGAATATCGTTCAAAAGTTCATTTATTTCAGCGCAGCAACTTAAAAGGTGAAACGAATATATGAGATAGACTCATTACATGCAAAGCAAGATAGTTCAAGCCGTGATTTGTCATCATTGCGATGATTATGGCTGTATGTAAGAGTTTACACCCAAATCACCATAAGAATAGAGGCTTAAAAAGTAATTGGTATCGCTTGAAGTACAAAGTTTGCCCAATAACCAAAAAAGCCTACAACTAGAAAAAAAAACGTGAATAAAGAATTCACAAGATAAGCGGTTGCATAACGGACAACGTGATACTCAAATAATCGTCAAAATATGCTTTTTAATCTTTTTGTTTTAAGGTTGCTCTGTCTATTGTCTTAAATTGAGGTGATGGCGTTTTGCTGTCTTTACTCAACTGTTTTCCATTTTTGCAATTTTGCTAATAAAATCATATTTTGATGATTGATTATCACATTGTCCTTTATGTAACCGCTTTTCTTGTGAATTCTTTGTTCACGTTTTTTTGTTGAAGGGTTTACACCCACTTTAATTTGTTTTAACCACTTCCCGTCCGGCCTGCTGTATATAAATGGCCGGACGGTGGCAATGCAGGGGCAGGTTGCCGTTCATAAACGGTGCCCGCCGTTTTGGATTGTGCGCGCTCCCTGGGAGCTCACGGCACCGCGATCCGCTGTATGGGACCTCTATGCGAGGTCCCGATCATGTGATCACTGATTGGCCAATCAGTGATCACATGAATAGGTGTAAGCAAGATGTCACTTCTGACATTGCTTACTACATGTGAAATCTGTGAATGATCACATGGTACAGGGCTATTCAGAACAGCCTTGTACCATGTGAAAAGCTGTGACCAATCACAGCTCACTGTCAGGAATCAAGGAGTGACCAGAAAGGTGTGGACTGACACAGGGAAACGCAGGTAATATAGTACAGTTTATTATTAGCCACCCAGATATATATCTATATAAACGCACAGTGAGCAAACCAACCTTCCACTAATCTTTAGGAGGTGCAGGAACACAGGCGTAGTCAGGGCTGGAGAGGTGGAACGGTCAGGCCGGCCGTAGGGTTCTGTAATGACCGTTTGGTGGTACCTCTAGCGGTCCTCAGGGCAGGATTCCCCAGGGCGCGGAGTCTAAGCCCCAGTCTGCCTTTTCACCAGAGCCCCTGATGGTGGGGATGGACTTGGCGCAGGACTGAAACCAGGTCGCGGCCCCTGAGTACACCTGCTAGTGGTAGAGGGATCCACCAGAGGTATGTGCAGGTACGGCTGGATCCGTGCAGGATGGATGGATGGCAGAGTAGTTAGCATGGTCAGACAAGCCGGGTCGGTAACGGTGGAGGCAGATCAGTACAGAGCAGCAGGCAAAGAGTAAACGGGTCACAAGCCAAGGTGCAGCAACAGGAGGTCAAGCAGCATAGGAGTAGGCAGAAGAATAGTCAGGGATGAGCCAGTAGTCAGAACAGGAGACGGTCAACAGAGATCAGGATCAAGCCGGGTCAGCAACGAAGCAGGAACACAGGGTACAGAGGCTCATGGGAAAACATACACCAAGGCCCAGAGCACAGCCCTGGTCATGGCTTAAATACACCTTTCTGCAATCAGTCCCAGGTTTGCTGATTGCACGTGTGAGCTTCTGGCTGCTGAGAGCACCCGCTGGTCAGCTCTGGTACTGCAGCCCACACGGCAGGCGAGTCCCACCACCAGTGCTGAGTCCATTCTGACACTCACACTGTATTTCTCAATGGCTGCAGGAATGCAGCAAGAGAGGAGGAGAAATTATTGGTTTTATAGCCTTTATGGGTAATTAAAGCAATCAGTGTAAGAAAAAAAAAAAATCTTCACCCCCACAAGTAGTACAGTGTCACTTTGGTACTGCTAGGGTGACCGTATGTTAAAAAAAAAAAAAAAAACATAAATAATAATATAAAAATGTAAAAAAAAATGTTTTAAAAATTATTTTTGCTTATAAACTAATTTGGGTTATTTTTTCTTTACTAAAAGGATAACTGAATAAATTTTGGCCAAGATTTATGAAGAAATATTATTTATTTGCAAAACTTTGTAAGAAAAACACTTTTTTTAAAAAAACTTTTTGGACGTTTTCTTATATAGCAAAAAAAAATAAAAATCCCAGTGGTGAATAAATACCACTAAAATAAAGTTTTATCTGTCTTAAAAAAATGCAAAAAAATTCATATGGGTACAGTTAGTGACTATAGTCGCACCTTTTCAGCTATAATTTCTTGCTATAGTTTTTCTTTTACCCTTTATTTCACCGTAACACCCAATTCTTCTACAGCCTCTACACCTAGAGCTGCCATAGTAGGATGCGCAGGAAATATTATTATTATTATACAGGATTTATATAGCACCGACAGTTTGTGCAGCGCTGTACAATATAAGGGAGACAGTACAATTACAATACATTTCAGTACAGAAGGAATAGGAGGGCCCGGTTTGTGGAGCTTACAATCTAAAGGAAGGGGGAGGTGACACAAAAGGTGATTGCTGTGGGGGATGATCTGGTGGAGGTGATTCAAGTACAGTTCTTAGGTGGAGGTGGGATAGACTTCCCAGAAGAAGTGAGTTTTCAAAGATCGCCTAAAGGTGATCAGTTGGCCCAGGGAAGAGGTATAGAGAGAGAAACGGAGGGGCCCAAGGACAGAGCCTTGGGGTGCCCCAACAGAAAGAGGGAGCAGAGGAGGAGGAGTTGTATGTGACACTTAAAGTGCGCTGAGAAAGGTAAAAGAGGAGAACCGGGAGAGAGCAGAGTCACCGAGGCCGATCGAGTGGAGTTTACTGAGGAGGAGCGAGTGGTCGACTGTGTCAAAGGCAGCGGAAAGGTCAAGGAGTATGAGTATGGAGTAATGGCCATTGGTTAGGATGAGTATGGAGTAATGGCCATTGGTTAGGATGAGTATGGAGTAATGGCCATTGGTTAGGATGAGTATGAAGTAATGGCCGTTGGTTAGGATGAGTATGGAGTAATGGCCATTGGTTAGGATGAGTATGGAGTAATGGCCGTTGGTTGGGATGAGTATGGAGTAATGGCCGTTGGTTGGGATGAGTATGGAGTAATGGCCGTTGGTTGGGATGAGTATGGAGTAATGGCCGTTGGTTGGGATGAGTATGGAGTAATGGCCGTTGGTTGGGATGAGTATGGAGTAATGGCCGTTGGTTGGGATGAGTATGGAGTAATGGCCGTTGGTTGGGATGAGTATGGAGTAATGGCCGTTGGTTGGGATGAGTATGGAGTAATGGCCGTTGGTTGGGATGAGTATGGAGTAATGGCCGTTGGTTGGGATGAGTATGGAGTAATGGCCGTTGGTTGGGATGAGTATGGAGTAATGGCCGTTGGTTGGGATGAGTATGGAGTAATGGCCGTTGGTTGGGATGAGTATGGAGTAATGGCCGTTGGTTAGGATGAGTATGGAGTAATGGCCGTTGGTTGGGATGAGTATGGAGTAATGGCCGTTGGTTAGGATGAGTATGGAGTAATGGCCGTTGGTTGGATGAGTATGGAGTAATGGCCGTTGGTTGGGATGAGTATGGAGTAATGGCCGTTGGTTGGGATGAGTATGGAGTAATGGCCATTGGTTAGGATGAGTATGGAGTAATGGCCGTTGGTTGGGATGAGTATGGAGTAATGGCCATTGGTTGGGATGAGTATGGAGTAATGGCCATTGGTTAGGATGAGTATGGAGTAATGGCCATAGGTTTTAGCAGTTAGTAGGTCATTAGTGAGTTTTAGTAGGGCGGTTTCTGTGGAATGTTGTGGGTGGAAGCCAGACTGTTGGGGATCAAGAAGGTTGTTGTCGGTGAGGTAGCAGTTCATACGGTTGTGAACAAGGCGCTCGAGAAGCTTGGAGGCAAACGGGAGCAGAGAGATGGGTGTTAAGTTATTCAAACAGGTGGGGTCCAGCGAGGGTTTTTTGAGGATGGGGGAAACCAGTGCATGTTTGAGTGGGGAGGGAAAGGTGCCCATGGAGAGTGAGAGGTTGAAGATGTGGGTTAGAGAGTTTAGGATAGAGCAGGAAGGAGGCTGCAACAGTCATGAGGGGACAGGGTCCAGGGGAAGTAGAATGGGATATAGGACAAGGATTCATTACCTCCTCCTGAAATATGGTAATACACAATACGGCCTGTTGCTGTTTTCCCATCCTTCACATTTGCAGTATATTGCTTTCTCCAAAATCTGTCAGATGCAAACTTCAGAATGGCAAGACTAGAAAACCAAAGGGTGAACTTCTCAGAAGTCACAAACATTTTTTTTTTTTTTTTTTTCCTTCGAGGTGTGCGGGGGGGGTGGGCGGTGAGACACTGACATTTCCAGCTGTGGCGCGGTGACGGGGGAATGTCAGAGCCAACTTGCTTTCCTTATTTTATTATCTTCAACGCGAAAAGTGCAAGTGGTCAGAAACGGGCAGCGCGGCTCGGAACACAGGTGATAAAAGCCTCCGTCGCCAAATTAATCTCCCACTTAGCGGCGGAGCAGGTCGTTAATTGTTCTCTCTGCTTGCTGTTGATATAATGTGGAAATTTTCATTCCCCATTCAAGACGTGGGGAAGGTTGTAGCCCGAAAATGTTAAGATTTGCATTTTTATTTGTTGATTTATTTAAAGGACAGCCTCTCCCGGCAATCCATCACCACGGTGACACCCCGAATATGAATAATGTATTGTGGACTTGGCGGTTACAATGTGTAATAAGCGCCGGGGACAGAAGCAGAATCTTAAGCACCCTGCAAATGTAATATTTATCGACTCATAAACTTTATTGCTTTCGAGGTTCAATAATACTGACCACAGAACATTAATATCACTTATCCAGGTTTTATTTAGGGCACTTCGGCAAAATAACCAGTCTGTTTAATGCTTACTGAAAAATAATTTAAATTTACAGCGTTCGAGGAGCGGGATGGAAGGCGCTTAATTGTCGAGAGCGTGTGTACGCCGCTTCCTCGAATCCGGCCACCTTACGGTTTTTCTAACATTTCTTAATTAAACCCCGAATAGATTTTAATGTACTGCGTCTTAACGGTGTATTTTGGCCTCTCTGTGCACAGTGTGAATTCAAATAAAGCTTTGTGGCATCTATTGCATTCTAATGAAGATATAAATGTGGCCTACATAAACATATTGATGCGGCTTCTTCCTTTTAACATGTTAAATAGGGAACCTAGCGTTTTTTTCTTGTTTTATTTTGAATGTGTTGCTGGTATTTTATTTAGAGGCCAGCCCAAGGCAACTAATAAAATCTGTTGATAAAACCGTAGAAAAGGGCCTGACGTCTCCGTCCATACACTCAAGGGAAAAAAGCATGGTTGGAACCAACAAAGGACACACAGTAGTAAAACCAATGCTTGCTAAAGAGAGAATAGAAGTCGTAACCAACTTCTACTACCTTGGAATTATGGATTCGTGAAAAACCAGAAGAACGACGTTGATGTTGCAGCTGGAATTGCCAAGACCGGAGTTTCTGGAAAAACAAAGAGCTGAGGAACTCGCTTCTATGCACCAACAAAAGTTTGCTACAAATAGATTTTAATGTACTGCGTCTTAACGGTGTATTTTGGCCTCTCTGTGCACAGTGTGAATCCAAATAAAGCTTTGTGGCATCTATTACATTCTAATGAAGATATAAATGTGGCCTACATAAACATATTGATGCGGCTTCTTCGTTTTAACATGTTAAATAGGGAACCGAGCGTTTTTTTCCTGGTTTCTTTTGAATGTGTTGCGGGTATTTTATTTAGAGGCCAGCCCAAGGCAACTAATAAAATCTGTTGATAAAACAGTAGAAAAGGGCCTGACGTCTCCGTCCATACACTCAAGGGAAAAAAGCATGGTTGGAACCAACAAAGGACACACAGTAGTAAAACCAATGCTTGCTAAAGAGAGAATAGAGGTCGTAACCAACTTCTTCTACCTTGAAATTATGGATTCATGAAAAACCAGAAGAATGACGTTGATGTTGCAGCTGGAATCGCCAAGACCGGAGTTTCTGGAAAAACAAAAGCTGAGGAACTCGCTTCTATGCACCAACAAAAGTTTGCTACAAATAGATTTTAATGTACTGCGTCTTAACGGTGTATTTTGGCCTCTCTGTGCACAGTGTGAATCCAAATAAAGCTTTGTGGCATCTATTACATTCTAATGAAGATATAAATGTGGCCTACATAAACATATTGATGCGGCTTCTTCGTTTTAACATGTTAAATAGGGAACCGAGCGTTTTTTTCCTGGTTTATTTTGAATGTGTTGCCGTATTTTATTTAGAGGCCAGCCCAAGGCAATTAATAAAATCTGTTGATAAAACAGTAGAAAAGGGCATGACGTCTCCGTCCATACACTCAAGGCAAAAAAGCATGGTTGGAACCAACAAAGGACACACAGTAGTGAAACCAATGCTTGCGAAAGAGAGAATAGAGGTCGTAACCAACTTCTAGTACCTTAGAATTATGGATTTGTGAAAAACCAGAAGAAAACCATTGATGTTGCAGCTGGAATCGCCAAGGCCGGAGTTTCTGGAAATACAAAGAGCTGAGGAACTCGCTTCTATGCACCAACAAAAGTTTGCTACAAATAGATTTTAATGTACTGCGTCTTAACGGTGTATTTTGGCCTCTCTGTGCACAGTGTGAATCCAAATAAAGCTTTGCGGCATCTATTGCATTCTAATGAAGATATAAATGTGGCCTACATAAACATATTGATGCGGCTTCTTCGTTTTAACATGTTAAATAGGGAACCGAGCGTTTTTTTCCTGGTTTCTTTTGAATGTGATGCCGTATTTTATTTAGAGGCCAGCCCAAGGCAACTAATAAAATCTGTTGATAAAACAGTAGAAAAGGGCCTGACGTCTCGGTCCATACACTCAAGGGAAAAAAGCATGGTTGGAACCAACAAAGGACACACAGTAGTGAAACCAATGCTTGCGAAAGAGAGAATAGAGGTCGTAACCAACTTCTAGTACCTTAGAATTATGGATTCGTGAAAAACCAGAAGAACGACGTTGATGTTGCAGCTGGAATCGCCAAGGCTGGAGTTTCTGGAAAAACAAAGCTGAGGAACTCGCTTCTATGCACCAACAAAAGTTTGCTACAAATAGATTTTAATGTACTGCGTCTTAATGGTGTATTTTGGCCTCTCTGTGCACAGTGTGAATCCAAATAAAGCTTTGTGGCATCTATTGCATTCTAATGAAGATATAAATGTGGCCTACATAAACATATTGATGCAGCTTCTTCGTTTTAACCACTTCCAGATCGGACACTTTCCCTCCCTTCCAGACCGGACACTTTTACCCCCTTTCTGACCAGGGCAATTTTCAGCTTTCAGCGCTATCACACTTTGAATGACAATTGCGCGGTCATGCAACACTGTACCCAAATGAATTTTTTACCATTTTTTTGAGACAGATAAAGCTTTATTTTGGTGGTATTTATTCACCGCTGGGATTTTTATTTTTTTTGCTATGTAAATGAAAAAGTCCAAAAAGTTTGAAAAAAAGTGTTTTATTTTTTTATAAAATTTTGCAAATAAATAATATTTCATCATAAATCTTTGCCAAAATTGATTCCGTTATCTTTTTAGTTAAAAACAAAAATCCAAATTAGTTTATAACCAAAAATTATAATTTTTAAACATTTTTTTTTACATTTTTATTTTTTTTTATATTTTTTTTTTTTTTTACATACTGTCACCCTAGCAGTACAGTGTCACCATGGTGACACTGTACTACTTGTGGGGGGTGATGAAGATTTTTTTTTTTTTTTTTGCACTGATTGCTTTTACACCCATATAGGATGTAAAAGCAATCATTTCTCTTTCTCTCTGTGTGCATTGTTGCACTCATTGAGAAGTACTGAGTGAGCTGTGATTGGTCACAGCTTGTCACATGGTACAAGGCTGTTGTGAATAGCCTTGTACCATGTGACCTCTGTGATCATTCACAGATTTCACACGTAGTAAGCAATGATGTCACAAGTGACATCTTGCTTACTACTTTGCATGTGATCACTGATTGGCCAATCAGTGATCACATGATCGGAACCTCGTACAGAGGTCCCGCCCGACGATCGGGGTTTCACTGTGTCCGGAGGACACAGCGGGCACCGGATCGCGGTGCTGTGTGCTCCCAGGGAGCGCGCACAAGCAGGGTGCGGGGAGGCCGTTTATAAACAGCCACCCGACCCTGCACTGCCACTGTCCGGCCGTTTATATACAAAACGGTCGGTCGGGAATGGTTAACATGTTAAGTAAGGAACCGAGCGTTTTTTTCCTGGTTTATTTTGAATGTGTTGCGGGTATTTTATTTAGAGGCCAGCCCAAGGCAACTAATAAGATCTGTTGATAAAACAGTAGAAAAGGGCCTGACGTCTCCGTCCATACACTCAAGGGAAAAAAGCATGGTGGGAACCAACAAAGGACACACAGTAGTAAAACCAATGCTTGCTAAAGAGAGAATGGAGGTGTACCAACTTCTACTACCTTGGAATTATGGATTAATGAAAAACCAGAAGAACAACGTTGATGTTGCAGCTGGAATCGCCAAGGCCGGAGTTTCTGGAAAAACAAAGAGCTGAGGAACTCGCTTCTATGCACCAACAAAAGTTTGCTACAAATGCAAATCTGGTCCATTCTTTGTTATGGCACAGAAACGTTTCCCCAAAATGTCTCCCGTAAAGATTACAAATTTTGAACTATGGTACTACAAGAGAATCTTGAAAATCTGCTGGACGTCCCGACTCGAGTTGCATGTTATAGTCCAGTATTTGCTGAGACTTGCTTTCGGAGATGCTCTGTACCTTCATATATGGTGGACCTGCCCAATTGTACAGGTTTTATGGATCCAGGTCTAGGATATGCTGTGAATAATTTTTTGCAGTTGATATCCCGCTTTTGCTTGGTGTGGCTTTGCTGAGCTTGAAGCCTAATGGAATCGCTTCTCCTCAATTGTAACTTCTGACCTGTGTACGCAGGGCAACCAAGCTGTAAAATCAAAAGTATAGCAGATACTCGTGAACGATAAATTGACCACCAAACTTACCAATATCATGCGAGCCTTTCAGTAGGATTGTACTCAAGGAGCAAAATAGGTGGTGAGTGCAAAGCTGGTCTTGACTTGCTTGAACTTCTCAACCTTTGTACCCCAAAGGAGCCCCTGAAATAATTTTCAGATCCCTTGCTAAAAAAAAATCAGTTCATTGGTGGTCGATGTGAAGAATGCTTCCCTTAAGGTGTTGGTTACTGGGAAGAATGCCACTCTTACAAACCATTAAAAGGATCATCAAAGCTGAGTTCCACTCACGCTGTCAAAAAATTAAAAGTCAGCAGCTACAAAAACTATAACTGCTGACTTTTAAAAAACAGCCACTTACCTGTCCCTTGGTCCCGTGGTGTGTCCCCCGCAGCCCGTTTCACCAGCCATCCTGTATTCTAGGAGGCCGGCATCTTCAGTGTGGGCACCCGGCTGTGATACCTTGCGGCTTCACAGATGGGTACCTACTGCGCATGCACATGTATGGTCCTGTAGTCTTTCTGGGACCTGCCACGTGTCCCAAAAGACTACAGGGAGGGAGGACACCTTTTGTTTCCAATCGCCTAGGACAGTGGTGGGCAACCTTTTTTTTTTCAACTGAGCCAAATCTCGCCAAAATCACGATTGAAATTTATTTTGAGAGCCACATTTTTAAAACTGAAAATACATCCCCCATATACATCCCCCATATAGTAATTCATCCCCCCTATAGTAATTCATCCCCCATCCCCCATAGTAATTCATCCCCCATATAGTAATTCATCCCCCCTATAGTAATTCATCCCCCATATAGTAATTCATCCCCCATATAGTAATTCATCCCCCATAGTAATTCATCCCCCATATAGTAATTCATCCCCCCTATAGTAATTCATCCCCCCATAGTAATTCATTCCCCATATTGTGTCAATTCACTTACCTTTGCTCCGTGCGTTCCTCTCGCCGTGTTCCCGCGCCGTTCCGGTCTTCAGGGCGGACTGTGAGAGGAGAGGAGTTCGTCACGCTGCCCCGCCTACATCCTGACAGCCAATGTTTGCCACGCTCCGCGGGCCGGATTAAAAGGTCCGCCGGGCCGTAGTTTGCCCATTGCTGGGCTAGCTGCAGAGTCCTGACTTTTGGGGCGGCCGCCCGAGAGGAGGAGGGGAGCGGGCGCCCGGCACACAGAAGAGCCGCATTACAGTGTGTAAAGAGCCGAATGTGGCTCGCGAGCCGCGGCTTGCCGACCACTAGCCTAGGAGATCGGACCGGAAGTGGGAGCGGGTACCTGTCAAATTCGGGTACCCGCTCCCTCCCTCCCCGCCCCCCCAAAGGTGCCAATCCTTAATGGGAGCGTAGGAGCAGTCCTTAAAGTGGAACTTCCCGCTTCAATGTCATGGCACTGACTTTACCAAATGCCGTTGGACCCAGAACTGTGCCGGTTCCATCAACTGAGAGGTCAATCGGCCACAGTTCAAGGAACCCTTTAGCCACCAATGGAAGGAACCTTGGTTGAGAATGGCTGCAGCAGAAAATGGAAAGTTTCTAGAACCCAACAATATAAAAAGTATTTATAAAATTTTACGCTTGCAGCCAGACCACCTTTAGAATGCTGAATAGATAATTGACGTTTGATTCTGAACTGGCGATAGCATCGGTCTCTTCTGCTCCAGAGCTGTACCTCTGCAAAATATGTATCTTCATTCTTATTCTCTGCAAAACCCAATAAACAGATAGGCAGGTATGTGACCAGATAGCACGTTAGTATGTTACTGGCCGATAAGTGAGATTGACGGCTGACACCAGCAGATGGAAAGAGATTCCGCCAGCTTAGCTAACAACGTAGGGAACTTTCCTTTCCTCTTTCCTTTCAAAAGAGGATTTAAATCCGTCGGATCTGGTTGAAAGTGATACACAATACTAGAGATGTTCAAAGGTGGGATTCAATATTATAGATGGAGTGATAAAGATAGAAAAGGAATAAAAGCAAGCATATTACTAAGAGCTGAATAAAGGGCAAACACCCCCCCCAAAGGAAAGTTTTGCTAACATTTAAAGGTAGAGAAGAACTAGATTAAGAATATATGAAAGTTATAGGATAGTTCTTCCTGGAGGAAAGATTTTTTTTTTTTGTGATGGGAAAGGCCAGTTGCATTACCTTTTTCTGTCGTGTTCTAGACCTTCATGGCAGGATCACTGGGTATTTTTTTTTTTTTTTTGTACTAACCCCCATACACAAATAAATGCAGCTCTGCATTCATTAAAACGTTTTTAAAGTGGCTATAAACCCTTACATATACCCAGTGAAGTGACTACCCTGGAGATGAACACAATCCTTTTTCATCCTCCGTAAAATCACACCGCAGTGTTGTCACCTTTGTACACAGGTTAGTCTTAAATAGAAGTATTATTAAACGGACGTTAAAACAAATTTAAAGTGGCTGTAAACCCTTACATATACCCAGTGATGTGACTAGCCTCAGGTGATACACAGATAAAAAAAAAAAATCTTTTACATACGTTGTACCTGTTTTATTTGCTGCCCTCTCTTCTCTACATCCTCCTAAAGCACACATTTTACACAGCATCTTTGCTTCAGGGGGTAGAGATTTGATGTCTCACACTACACAGCAGAGCAGAGAGAGATGAGTGTAATCTGAGATCTGAGTGGAGGGAATAGACACCTCCCCCTAAACAGCCTAATAGGGAAAGTACCTGAAACCGTCAATCACCTGAGGGGGGTGGGGTGAGGGGGGTGGGGGGTCGATCACACTAGGTACTTTGGATTGAGGAAAATACACTATAGAGGGATATGCTTTGGTCATTGCACTGATGTTGTACTTCCGGTGCCTCTGACAGTGCATGTGCACATGTGCAAAGATGTGCCAGAGTGCTTCTGGACCCAGCAGAGACCTGCAGCACATCATGCTCGAAGACACCTCTGTTATGGAGGTCCCAGATCTCGGGTTGTCTGAACATGCGTGGGAAAACTCCACACGTGCAGGCATGATCCAGTCCCAGCACCAGCTTCAGTGTAGGGGAGAGATTGCTGACGATGACTGCAGAGCCTGTGCGATGATGTCACCCATAGGCTTGCTATGGGGCATCCGTTGTCCATTGTCCCTTTAATCAAACAAGCAAAGTGGACCTTTTAGCCTAGGCCAGAAGTCTCCAAACTTTCTGAACAAACTTTTCTGTCCTTCAGGCTTCAGGGGGGCCAGACTGTGGCCAGTGGAAGTAGAAGACTCCCAGGTATAAATATAAATACGAGTAAACAATTCCCCATCATTGGTGTCAGTGGGAGGATTAGTGCCCCATCATTGGTGTCAGTGGGAGGAATAGTGCCCCATCTTTGGTGTCAGTGGGAGGAATAGTGCCCCATCATTGGTGTCAGTGGGAGGAATTGTGCCCCATCATTGGTGTCAGTGGGAGGAACAGTGCCCCATCATTGGTATCAGTGGGAGGAATTGTGCCCCATCATTGGTGTCAGTGGGAGAAAATAGGAAGGAATTGTGCCCCATCATTGGAGTCAGTGGGAGGAATAGTGCCCCATCATTGGTTTTAGTGGGAGGAACAGTGCCCCATCATTGGTTTTAGTGGGAGGAACAGTGCCCCATCATTGGTTTTAGTGGGAGGAATACACTGCCCCGTCATTGTTTTAGTGGGAGGAATAGTTGCCCCGTCATTGGTTTTAGTGGGAGGAATAGTTGCCCCGTCATTGGTTTTAGTGGGAGGAATAGTTGCCCCGTCATTGGTTTTAGTGGGAGGAATAGTTGCCCCGTCATTGGTTTTACTGGGAGGATTGTACCCGAATATTGGTATGAGTGGGAGGAGTAATGCCCCATTGCAGATGTCAGTGTAAGAAATAGTACCCCATCATTGCTATCTGTGGGAAGGGTAGTGCCCCACCATTGGTGTCATTGGGAGGAATAGTGCCCCACCATTGGTGTC